CATCAATAACGCTGAACAAAACTAATGCATAATGAACCCAGAATAGTGTAGCAATTTAGAATGATGAATAAAAAGTTATCTTGAAAAATCCCTCTGATAGTTATGCAGTTATGAGACGGAAGCGCTAAATAAGATGTTGCGTAAGTGCGATTTTTTTAGGAGCCCACTATCCTGCAGTAAGCTGATACATTTCACTCAAAGTTATAATTGCCTTGTAGAACCAAGTTCCAAAGGATTAAGAATTATGCCATAAAAAGTAGAATGCAATAAAACATAAACCCACCTGCAAGATCTTCAGATGAATAGATTGGCAGTTCTCTCTTTTTGGAGTTACTTTTAATTTGAGTCCTATTCATCATAAGTTTTGAAGTTTCTGTGGTCATTTCGACACCATTATCAAACTGGTTAATCTGAGTTAGGTCAACATTATTATCGTGAGATGTAGATCCAGAGCAGGAGCGGGATTTGGAAATGTTGACTTCATTCTTACTCGTTGTTCCAGCATCGCCTTCATCATCTTCGTCCTCTTCGTCATCAATCGAATGTAATCGAAGACTACGTATCTCTTTCTCTAACACCCTAATTCGGCGAGATATTTCAGTAAGAGACTCCTTCACTTCAGTCAAATTCAGTCTCATTTGCTGATCCCGGCGACGGGCTTCATTCAAAAGCGCCTCAACGTCATATCTAGTCTTCTGTACAGCTTCAAGGTCCGCAATTAGTTGATCCTTCTGCAATATGAAATAAAACCAAAATTATCATAGTATTCAATCGATAAGGCTTTCGCAACTTAGTCGGAATGGCAGGAAGTCCTTATGGAGCGTACCTAATCACCTCTGCAAAGATATGTGATTTACAACATAGTACAAGTGTGCTTTGGTACACTCATATATGTCTTCCAGGTCCGTCAGGACAGAGTTATAACTTATCAAATAGACAAGTGAAGTCAATCCCCTCAACCAGTTTTCTATTCTACCGATGTAACATCAATCTTGGCAACAGTAGTTTGTTCTAGCTTATAGTCTTGCATCTATTTCTCTCAACCACATTTTATAAGACCCATTTAGCAAGTGACATAATTTTGAGCTCATGTTTACTCCTGTCATGTAACAAGCCGTCGCTACAAGTGGGTTTAGTGATAAGGAATAAGCTTCCTTACTGGCTATAAATGCCATTTGCAGAGTTGCTGACGTGCATTCACGCTTCCCTTCTGCTCAACTTGTCAATTAGTCTCTGCTATACATCAAAATCGCTGTCTGACTGTCTGAAATCTGGCCGTATAAAGAGCCTAAAATTACCATCACATATTACGCCTTATTGGAAGATTTAGGCCAGATGATGCCCATTCCAATGCCTGTTAATCATCCTCCCTCTATGCTTAAAACCCATGATTTTATCATTTTTCTCATCCCCACCAACATTTTATTTCATTCTTTGTGGCCCTATGTCCAGCTTAATTCATAACTCCTGATGTGAAAATGCACAGATTCCCATTTGCCTCTCCAGAATCGCGAAAAGCAAACTTCTTCCGACCCTCAAGTTTACATTCCTTTGTATAAGTATAGGGTACTAAGATGTTGTTAGTTGGCATACCCAGTGGCCAAGCATGTCACCTCTCGTTAAGGTACACACAAGAAAAATGCACAAAATCACACAAGTGCACACACTGGAGGCCTATATCTAGCTCACCCATATATTTAACCTTCAATTTCCTATCTAACACCCCACAGATAGACCCCGCGAGTAAATCTTTTGGCCGATTCCAGGATTTGATACTTTCATTGCAATC